ACTCGTGTACCTTCTCAAATATTTTTGGTCGATTATAATTTTGCGTTTAATGAAAATATGTGCACGGCCCAACTCCGAGATTTTCTCAGGACATCGGAAAATGCCCTAAATATTCGTCATAAATTCTGCGACGCTTCAATGGAAAATGTTGCTAGGATATTATCACATTCTGCTCCAGAATCTTTGTACATAAATTCTTTAAGTAATTTGGGATTTTAAGGTCCGAAGTAGGGTAAAGAACATTTTGTTGTCAACTTCTCGAAAAAAATACGATTGGCTAATTTTATGTTTCTTGACGTTTCGAGTTATTCTGAATCGTTTGACACTAAAATTGGAAAAAGTATATATACATATGTTTGTGAGCCAAATTTGATTTTGAATTTAATGTTTTCTCAACAACTGATGAAAACTGAAACTGACTAATGTACATCAGGCCCTGAGGCAAATTGCCGCATACACCTAATTTTAATATCTGTTTATTTATGTAGGTACGTGAATCTCATTAATAATTTTGCAAAATACTAATTCCAACCCAAGTTTGATATCTTGAGCAAAACACATGGCACATATTCACATGTCAATTAATTTTGATAAACAAGGCTTAAAATTTCAGTGTAACGTCGGGTGAAGCCGGGAAAGCGAATAATCGGGTTTTCCGACGTTTTCACTTAAGATTACACCATATGTGACATAAATATTGACTTATTGAATTTTAGTGACATATAACATACACATATGGTAGATGAAGAATTCGAGTTATTTTATTATTTACTCGTTGTTCCCATATATTGATTTTGACGACGTTGTTTGTAAAACTGGGGCATCATAAAATATTTATTTCCGTGAAGAAAGAAAAGGTGGCATAAAATTTCAAAAATGATAATATTAAACTTATAAAAATCCCAATAATCAGGGCAAAATTCGTAATAACCAGTGTGATAATTATATTTCTAGAGATTAGTTCTTTAATTACAAAAGCTGCCTCGAGGATCATCCAAACCCACTTGTCAAGAAACTATATTACAACTCTACCAGGGCAAGGTAGAAAATAAAATTCACATTATATTAAAACATGTCAATTTTCAGAATTTCTGACAATGGTCAGAAAATGTTGAATTTTTTAAGTCATTTATTCTGCGGATTTACATGTTGTCCACATCAGGAAAGGTGTAAAAAATATATAATAAAAAAATAGATCAGTTCTGAAATTTGAACACATTGATGATACTAAATAGTGATACTAAATCACTTCAAATTTCTTAAAAAAAAAACAGAATACTCTTTTCTTGCAAATTTTTTACAAGAAATTGGAGATAGAAGGGATTTGTTTTTGCAACTATAAAATTTAAAATAGATCAAATTAGTAATAGTAGTAAAATTTATAAAAATCATTCAATTTCAATATTTCTCACAATTACTATGGGTGTACTTTGATTGCAACCATAAGGAATGATAATTTTTCATGTTTCTTTTCTCTACTGTGTAAATTCGCTATGAAATTTAAAGACGATAAAACTTCCATCATGATTATAAATTTCTATCTTTAAGGTTTACTTATCATTAGTTTCCAATATTCTAAAGGTGTGCACTTATTGTAATAAAAAGAAATTGTGAACTTTTCCTATAACTTTGCGTTACTGCAAACTCCTTAAGAAAAGGCGACTAATAAATTATATGCACAGGCAGCTATTAAATTTTAAATAAATTAAATATCGATTAAATCGTAGGAGTTTTATGATGGATTATGAAAATTAAAATACAGCAAGGAAAATGCGGTGAAATATAAGTTTAATACGTTGATGCATTAAGGAAATGATTTTCCAATATTCTAAGATGTATAGATTATCATTAAAAGGAATAGTAAGTTCTTCATAGAACGTTGCATTATTTTCATCATGGTTGTTCTAGACATTTTGTTGTAAATGGAAAAAAGCTTTGGGCAAATTTATTAAATGTACTTCCAGTTATTTCCGTCTTTAAATCACTGGAAAATATGTCCATATAGCTCAACTTACCATTTGTTTAGAATTAGAAGAAAATTGCCAAAACTTTTGTCGCCAAAAATTCTAATTCGATTTTAAAAATACTCAACTCCTTCTCATTAATATTCTCAACCTTTCTGTGACTATTTTTTTGAAGTATATGCATTACTCTACGTTTTTCATCTAATTGGACATACGAATCTTTCAAGTTTTTTCCGTGATACTTCGTGGACATGATTTTTTTTTTGATTTATTGAATAAGAAGTATCGTATTTCATATAAAAATGTTATGTCATCATTTGATTGCTTTTCAAAATCTGATTCCGATATTATACAATCATATCAAGGCTGAATTTTATTTGCAAGTGAGTTAATAAATCTTTTGCTCTAACACATTTTTGATAGAATAAAATGAATTTCATTGTTTTGCTACTGATGCAGACAGGAGATGAAATTAAAATATTGAAATAATGATACCAAAAGGTAGTTTTAAATAACTTTAAATACCATTATTTCAGCATTTTCAAAGATACGGGGCAAAAAGTGCCAAAAATGGTGATTCAAATTTTGAGAGAACGGAGCGTCCGATTGGAATAATTCAAATTTTATTTATTTTGACAAAATGAAAAACTGGTGAAATGGGAAGGCAGTTCTAGCGATTTTGGAGATTCAACAAAAAAAGTAAAAATAAATGACATTTGGCAGACAAAAATGATTATTAGACATATGCACATCAAATTATCACATATTTTATAGATATTTTAATAATAAGAACAAATTTTGTTTTCTATGGGGTCATTGCTTCAAAAAAGTTCAAAGTTTCCAAAATACAAAAATTCAAATATTCCAAAAAGGTCAATTCTTTTCAAAAATTTTAAAAATCTCATAAATCTATTTTTTCAATTTACTACAAAATGTGTTTTTTTTAACATTTTTGTACGGGAAGTTACAGCAATTTGCCTTAAGACACAATGCCATTCACCACTAGTTTTTTCTTTTGCAATTTATTGCAAATCTAAAAATTCGTTTGGAATGAAATTATTGGAATTATTCTAATAATTGATCAAAAGAATTTTATAATTCTCAACTTTTCTTTGCAGAAATTTCGACAGCAAAAAATTGTTTCCAAAACGCTGCTGAATATTTGTAAAGCTGAATGTAGAATTTTGACGACCAAAGACTTTACCACAAAGCCACGAGCAAGCTCATATCTTAAAATAGTTAAATTAATTTAATCCCTTGATGATTCATTCGAAATTTTGGCATCGCACTCACATTCTTAATTATATCAAATTTTGTGTATAGAACTCCAAACCATCAACAAACAAAATGTGTTCCGTACCAATAGAAAATAAACAGAATGCGCCAGAATACAAACATTGGACGAAATAATATAATCAGACTATTGTTTGTGGTATGGTTCGCGATTGCGTAAGTAGTCTGTAAATACACGCCTTGGTTAATTCAATAATAAATATATTGATTAATGGGCAGATGAATCAGAAAATATATTTCCACGAAATAAATCAGTGCTGAAAAACAGAAAAGTGATAGAAAAATGCTAAAGATTTGATTTGACGCATATTCAGTTATTAACTTCCCGAAGGAGAAGTTTGATTTTCATAAAAAATCCGATTCCCTAATTTCATATTTTCTCGACGTTTCAAGCCATTCTGAACCGAATGAAACTAAATTTGGAAAAAGTATGTGTGTGTATGTGAGCAGATTTTTTGCTGTAAATCGACGTTTTCTTAAAAAAAAAGCTGAAACAATTTCAAAAATTTAAAAGTAATTTGATGTATCTCGATGGGGACTAGTTTTTATCAATTTGCGCGACGATCAGCCAAGCCGTTTCTTTGTAAATAGCAGAAAAGTGAAAAAAAATTGTCCACGTGGACGTACGTTTCAAGCTCTCAATTCTCAATTCTGAATCGATTTTAAAAAATCAAAAACTGTTCGAAAGATATTAGTTGGGAATGATACTGATTAGTTTTAGGTAAAAATCTACCGACCCGTTTTCTTGAAATTACCTGTTGAAAGAAATTTTATGCCGATTTTTATGAAACATTTTTGGGCAATAGATCTCATGGACTTATAAAACATACTAAAATGTTACGGCCCTACGACAAATAGTTTAATGTTAAAAATTCATCAAAGTTTGAGAAAATATTATAGTCAAAATTTGTGTCAAAAGTTGCTTTTGTAATATGTTGAGTCAATCGATAATGATTCATTAAAATTTAAAATAATGAACTAGGTCATACAAGCACGTTAATTAAAATTAAGCACGTGTCAATGCAATATAATTAATATAATTACAGTTAACTTAAATATTCTTGAGAAAACTATAGTCGAAATTGCAATGTTTAAATTTAATTAACAGCAATAACTTTATTTTTGAAATAAACAGTTGAAAATTTTATCTAAATATCTAAAGTTCAATTTCCATTAATTAAGTCAGTTCCTACACATTTCGGGAAGTTCATGCAACTTGTTTTAAGGCTAAATGCCACTTTCAACTATTTTTTTTTTTTTTTATAAATTCATAAAGACAAATCAAATCATCCAACAATGGTTTTTTCACCACTATGAATGAGTAAAAAAATAAATCAAAATAAATAAAAAAGCACATTTTTATATATAAGAATGAACATAAGAACTTAGTAGGATTCTGAGCAGAATCTTTGACGCAAAACCTTAAAATTAATTTCAAAAGATTCATTAATTATTATGAAGTTTAAATAAATAATTCAACACATTATTTATAAAAACATTTATTATACGTTTTGAGAATCAAGTTTGTTCCCATCATCAGAATATCTGATACATATACAAAAAGTGATATGCTTAAATATGAATTATGTATATAATATGTATAAATACCAAACAATCATTGGAGTATATCATATCGTAGATTCTAAAAAAAAGTGTTTCTTAAGTACATACAAGAAAATACACATTGAAAATACCTATATTTATGAGTATTATGATAATAAATAAATATAAATTAAAGCTTCTACAATTAGCTCAAAATATTGCATAACTTATACCTAATCAGGTTGTGTTAGAATTTAAATTTGCAAGAGCAGAATTTTGTTCCAACACATCGAGCCAGTGATTTAATACTTTTGTTTGTTGCTATAAAAAGTTTTGGCAACATATTAAAATAACCGTATATAAGTATGAACTTATATACAAGTTTTGTCTTTTTGTATTTCGAAATTTTCAGGGCACACAAAAATGCCCCAGGTCGTTGGTTAGTAATCACAGTATCAAACTGATGTTTCTGAGTTCAAGCGTAGTACGAATTTGTTGCTTTTTGGGTCCACAACCTCCTCAGTTATACTGAAGTGTGGTAGCTGCCGTATGTAGCATAAGAGTGATATATCATTTTGGCGTAACTGGAATGTGATCCCATTTTGAATGGGTCTCGAGAGTAATTCCTCACAAATCAAAGCCCAGCTTTGTACTGAACGTTGCTCCTTCTCGTTTTGCAAAACTGGTTCTTCTACTAAAAATGGTTCTAAGAAGGCTTTAGGAGTGAGATCGTGACTTAAGCAATGTCCTAAGTGTGTGAGTATTGATTCAACTGAGTGACGGGGCTGTTGGCGTGTCACTCTCAATATTTTTGAAGAGCTCGAGCCATGGATGGGAAAACTGCTCGAGCTGCTTCTTGAGCATCCATTGGAATTGCAGGCATGGGCTCGTGATGAAGTCTTTTGATATGCGTGAAGGCCTCTTCGGCGGCTGTTATAAGGCGGGCGCGACGTTTTTTGACTCGTCTTTCGTACTCGTGCTGCTCATAGAACCTCTCATTATGAGATGAATCTCTTCTTCTTGCGTGTGCAGCTAACATCGCTCTTGACTGGCTTTGTTGGGCACTATTATTTGTGATACCATCCACCTCATAAAATTTGAAACTCGTTGATGTTTTCCTTTGTGATTTGGAAACAGGTATTCTTTCTAAATATGGATTGTATATGGGGAATTCAGTGTAATATTTTTGTAAAACCCAAGCTGCTGCTCTTTGAATACTCAATTGACCGATAGCATAAGCTTTACTTTGTCCATCAGGGCTACGTACTATTTTAATGTAATAGGCTGATTGCAAATGCCTTAACTCAAGAAGAATTACAGCTATGTAATGTATGAATAAAAGAGTATCAGTAAAACTTGAAGCATAAGCTACAAGTGAGCGATAATAAGGTGAATCTTCACCTTCTAAAAATTCTTTAGCCCCTTCAGTTACTTGTACAACATAAAAAAGCCAGTATGAGAAAACACATATAAAAAGAAGTATCAACACAGCACTTCTGAATAAAAATATTCTAGGATATGACGTGTTCGGTTTACGTAAAAATATTGCCCAAGCACCTATCGCTAATAATACTAATTTAAATGCAAGAGATATAAGTAAGCCTTTACATTCAGCCCCACAAGCTAACAACTGTGTTAGCTGATGTGGTTGCAAAGCCAAATTACTAAACAAACTAGGAAAAAACCCTAACTTCGGCATAACAGCCATTGCTAAAGGACTAAGAAAAGCCACCACGGACAAAATAAAAGTTAACACTGAACCCACATATCGATGACAAACAAATCCCAACCCAACATCATTATCCGGCCAAGTTGAAATATCTTCAATAGACTGCGACTGCTCAGAGGTATTTCCAGTGACAGCGGTGGTATTTTCACCCCAATTATCATCTTGTTGCAAGATCTGCACCTCGATGACTTCTTGGCCATCTCCACGTTCAGAGGACAAGTTTGCTGTTGTTTGAAAGGGTGCCATTGAGGAGTCTTCTATTCTTCTATTTGATTTAGAGCTTCTGGTGCTACGATGAGAATGTGGCTTGTGGTTTCTCGGTCTGCGAGATCGCCAACTTTGATCAGATTTTACAGACTCTGTCTCCATAATGGGATGGCAAGGCGCCGGTTCTTGGTAATAATTCTCTTAGAACAAGCATGGAGGTTGTAATAATAGTCAGAGGAATAGTTATTTTGTTGGTGTGAAATATCAGGCACCTGTTAGAAAAGCACGGTTCTATAAGAATCTTATAAGAAAAGTAAATTAACTACTAGAACGTAAACATTTATAGCGATATATGTATGATATAGTATAATTAAAATATTTTGTGTAGGTAATTACTTTTTTTGTCCACGCCTGAATAATTCACGAAGTTTTCTTCTGATATTAACTCATTTTTCAAGTTGCGGCTTGTAGATTGTAGTAAAATATCATTTTCCCATGTTCTTATTTGATTCACAGCACTTGTTTATTTATAAATAAGATATTTTATTATATTTTTAACTTTTTTGTCATAAATTAACCTTTAGTTTACGTTTGTATACGCGTCCATTTTCCGCAACGCTGACATCTGACAGTTCGTCAGTCGCCACTAGCGCCGCAGGTGTGTGAAATTATAACTATTGGTCATTACTATTTCATTTTGCACCTTTTTGTGTTTTTGCACCTGCCTCTCTATTAATTAATGTATATATTTGTATATTTTTGTAGAGAAATCATGAAACTAGTGGTGCGTGGCATCGTGCCTTTAGTCAAATTGGAACTCCCCGTATCAAAAATTCTATTTTTTTAAAAAGATTTTTTTTTTTAATCTTTCAAAAAATTTGATTTTTGAGATTTTAAATTTTTGAAAATTTTGACTCTTTTGAATAGAAAGACTTGGAAAAAAATGTGTGTGCCTCAAGGTAGTATTTTAGGACCGATTTTATTTTCCATTTATACATATGATATGCCTACAAAAATCAACACGCAATTATTAATGTATGCGGATAACACTGTAATTTTCACTTCGGGCAAACCAGATAAAGCAATCATTAAGAAATTACAAAGTCATTTGAACCAAATTATAAAATACACAAATAAATGGAAAATAAAAATAAATATTGACAAAACAGAATCTATATTCTTTACCAAAAGAAGAATTAATCCTACACCCAATATAACCTTGCATCTTAATAATAATATCATACCATGGAGTAGTTCTGTTAAATATTTGGGTGTCATCTTAGACAGAAAACTTAATTTCAATGAACACATTAGTAATAAAATAATTAAATTAAAAAATGTAATATACATATTATACCCATTGCTAAATTATAAAAGTTATATTAATATTGAAAATAAAAAAAGAATTTATATGGCAATAATTAGATCCGCAATGATATATGCTTCCCCTATTTGGTGTATGACAAACAAACATAATATTAAGAAACTACAATCAGTACAAAATGTTTCATTAAGATTTGTTATAGGTCAAGCAAGGAATCCAATAAATATGCATTATATTAGCACAAAGTTCCTACATGATTCCACTAATGTACCATTAGTGAGAGATTTTATAACAATAATCTCTGAAAGATTTTATACTAATTGTTTATTTAACTTTAATCCTAATATATGTAATATTGGATCGAACGACAATACATATTGGTACAATAAGTACAAGCTACCATCATCAATAAAAAGATAATCAAGTATAAAATATGACAGAGATCAAATTACTCTCAAACTATTCCTACAGCATATGTTATTAGTCTTTTGACTATATTCCAATCATATATGTAATATGTATTCTTTTTGTTATTATTATTGTAAATATGGTTTTTAGTGATTATTTTTACCATGATTAAAAAATTATTTATAGGTTAAGTTAATTTTTATTAGTTAGTATTAAATATAAGTTTATGTATTTATATCTTAGGATAGTTATACATGTTTATTAAATTGTATAGAAATATGTATGTATAATCTAATATAAATGAAATAAATAAATCTTTAAAAACTAAAACTAAACTTGGAAAAAAATGCTTCTTTTTCAAATATTTTGGAAGTTTTAAACTTATTTTCAAGGCAATGTTTTTCAAACGTTTCTCTTTCATATTTTGCACAAAATCAATTCTCTCGTCAGTAGTCATTTTATTTTTTTACATGTTTTAAAACGTTTAACTTTAATATTTTTTTTTTTTTATTTAGGTTTGTTTTCTAATTTCTTTTAGTTTGCTTGTCAGTAGAGTCCTTTCTGTCTTTTATTTTGGTTTGCTTGTCAGTGTAGTCTTTTTTTATTTTCAAGGATATTTAATAATTTGCTCGTCAGTAGAATCCTTTTCTTATTATTTTCTACAATATTTAATTATTTGCTTGCCAGTAGAGTCCCTTTTCTATGTAATTTCAGCTTCCAGTCAGTAGAGTTCTTTATTCTTGTAACTTCGGTTTGCTCGTCAGTAGAGTCCCTTTTTTATTATCTACAATATTTAATAATTTTTTAACTGCATAGAGTCGAATTATCGAAGCGCGTATGCGCCGCGTCGCCGTCTAAAGGACCAACGATGTTACAGAAATCATAGAAATATAAACAAAAATGATACATATTATTAAAATCTCCATAAAATATCTGATAATTTGATGTGCATGTGTCTAATGATCATTTTTGACCGCCAAATTGCATTTTTTTTACCTTATTCACTAGATTTCCGAAAACGCTAGACCTGTCTTCCCAAAAATTTAATCAGTTCATCTTCATCTTGTCAATATAAGTAAAATGTTTTTTGAATTATTAAAGTCGGATGCTCCGTTCTCTTAAAAACTAAGTTACCGTTTTTGGCACTTTTTGCCCTGTATCTTCGGAAAGGCAAGACCTGCCTTTGCCAAAAACTAATTAGCACGTCTCCTTATCAATATGAATCGAATGTTTTTTTGATCATTCAAATCGGTTGATCGGTGTTTCCGAAATCGTCGACGAAAATTTGTATCCGCACACACACACATCCATTTTTTCTGAGGTATGCCAAAATGTTCAGAAACCCCATAATATAAAAATTTTTATTTTAGATTTTTTTGCGATTACTATAACTTATCTTACTTGAAGTTAAAAATTGCATTTTGGTTTAAATTTAAGTGCATTTTCTAATTACAATAGGTTTACTTAATATGCAGTTGTAATATTATGTATTTTGAAGCACTTAACAAACCCTCTTATTTTATATTCTAGACATTTTTTTAACTTCCCGTAGGGTAAGTTATAGTAATCGCCGAAAAAACGGAAATGATTTTTTTTATATATCCATACGTTTCACAACCTTCTGAACATTTTGGCACACATTAGCAAAAATGTATGTGTGTGCATGTATGTACGGATATAAATTTTCGTCGTCTATTTCAGGAATACGGTACAACCGATTTGAATGATTCAAAATACATACATTTGATTCCTTGTTGATAAGGAGACGTGCTGATTAGTTTTTGGCGAAGGCAGGTTCAGCCGTTTAGAAGACACGGGGCAAAAAGTGCGAATAATGGTAATTCAGTATCTGAGAGAACGGACCGTCCGATTTCAAGTATTCTTGACTTGCATTAACAAAATGAAGTACTGGTCAAATTTTTGGGAAGGCAGGTC